GATGAGACACAAGTTTATCAAACTTATGAAGTCTTCTCCCACGAACAATTTATAGCAATAGACTATTTACAAAGCATTCATGCATACTATACAATACATTATATATATTTGATATGTAAAAAGATGATGGGTGATGATGTGAATGGTTGTACACAATATATAGATACATTTTGTATGTTCCTGTCCCAAGTCAGAAGCCTGTAATTCAATGGTTGTCGTTTGTTGCTGTACACCATATTTGTTTTTCGTTTATTGTTTTGTACATAAGCCAAGCCGCTAGTTTTCTCGTTTGAATTGTTTTTCACGTGTCATTTCGGGGACTTTTATGGCTTGCTATGCGGTATAGGTTTTGCTCATTGTTGAAGGCCGTGCGGTTACCTATAGTTGCTAACTTCTACGTCATTTGGTCTCTGGGGGAGAGTTGTCTTATCTTTATATTTCTATAACATGAGTACATATAAATTCAAGATGTACGCCTCACTTTGTGTACTAATTTGTAGATTTTTGCCAATTTAAAAAAAAAGTTAATTTTCAACATCATTCTTGTTGAATGGTTCACATTTTGTGTTGTCAACTTCTACAGATTTCAAGTCATTACTTTCATTCAATAAAATGTTTCCCAACACATATCAATTATTTGGATCACATTTTAAATACATATGGCTAAATACTTATACAAAAATACGTATAAGTTAATTGTGTCACAATGACCGTTTACGGCCATTTGCAAAACACTTACAAGTGCCAGTCAAATTACACTATGATTCTATTTTGTCATTTAAATTGGTATATTAGCCTAAATATAAGGTTAAATATCTATTTTCTAGGCTAATATACCAATTTGAATGGCAAAATAGAATCATAGTGTATTTTGACTGGTACTTGTAAGTTGTTTGCAAATGGACATAAATTTTTCGATATGTAATTGATGGTCACTACCGACTTCGACTTTTACTGAAATTAATTTATGAAGTAATTAAACCATTTTTGGAGCGTTTCTAACCTATATGGTACACAGGTCACTTTTCACAATGCATTTAGAAGAAATACATTTAGATGCTTGGTAATTTAAAAATTGGTTCTTTGTCGTATTTGATTATTGTGCCATACAACTGGGGCGTGTTTTATTGGTCTCTTCTGTACATCTCCAGAATGTCTTCTGGTGAAGAGTCCAAAAAAATGAATCTGGACCTCTTCTGGAGATATTCTATGGAAGATCAATAAAATAAAAATGCAACTTGACGCCGAATATAGCAGGTTTTTGTTATGTTGGATGACAAAAATTAAGTTTACGATTTTTTTAGAAAATTAAGATACGTCCATGCAGTAGACATGACTGTAAAGGTGTTCTCTGTTCGTTACAATTTTCTTTATGCTTTCCTTTAACTCAATTTTGCTGAACAAATCAGGCTTAACCCCCACTATTAGATTTTTAAGAATAATCTTAAACTGCACAAGAATTCTTCAATGTTTGTCTCGAATATGACTGATGAAAAAGGAAATCTTAGTCTTTCCATTTTTGTTTTTAAAGTAACCGAACTGGATTAACAAGATATCAGAAAGTCCGAAAAAAATGTTTTTCTCTGGCGGTCCTTGAAGAAAATCTTCTGGTCCTAACTATTATTTCTAATGCAAAATTTCGATGGTCAAAACCTTCGGACTACCACTTTTCAATTTTTTTTTATTGTATATGGATCTATATGTAATAAAATTGAGAATGGAAATGGGAATGTTTCCAAAGAGCAGACAACAGCCGAAGGCCACCAATGGGTCTACAACGTATATACCAGACGTTTCTTAGACTTTTATTTAATAAATCAGTTGGTTGTGTACTGATTGATACTTAGGTCTGGGAGAACAAGATTTATTTCAGTACTAGTTGCAACTAGCTTTGAACGAACTTCTAGTAATTGCAAATACTCTTAGTTCGATGCTTTGAGTCTATTGTCTTAATGTTAGTTGGCCGGTTTCTTTTGTGTGTCTCGTACCGATCTTTTGAGTTAATCTAATTGCAACTGATTTGCGCAGGTTGTTCTTATATTGTACTGCTACACTACTGTTTCAGCTTCGGGGAGGATTGAGCGCTCACAAACAAGTTGTTGTACTGTTACATCACTGTCCCATGTAGGGGATGTTTGGGATTCCGCTAACATGTTTAACCCCACCACATTCTGTATGTATGTGCCTGTCCCAAGTCAGGAGCCTGTAAGTCAGTGGTTGTCGTTTGTTGCTATGTTACTTATTTGTTTTTCGTTCACTTTATTTTGTATATTAGTTAGGCCGTTAGTTTTTACCATTGAATTGTTTTACATTTGTGATTTCGGGGCTTTTTATAGCTCACTATGTGGTATGGGCTTTGCTTATTGTTGAAAGCCGTATTGTGACATATGGTTGTTAATTTCTGTATCATTTGGTCTCTTGTCAAGAGTTGTCTCATTGTCAATCATACCACATCTTCGTTTTTATATAAACCCCTGCCATATTCTTTATGAACCTGTCCAAAGTCAGGAGCCTGTAGTTTAGTGGTTGTCGTTGGTTCATGTCTCAACTCACATTTGATATTATGTAAATTGTTTTGTTTTGTATAATTAGGCCGTTAGTTTTATCGTTTGAATTGTTTCACACTTTTAATGGCCTTTCATAAACGGCTTTACAGTATCGGGGTTTGTCATTGTTGAAGGCCTTAAGGTTGCCTATAATTGCTTACATCCATTTCATATTAGGATAGTTGCCTCATTAGCGATCATATCACATCTCTTCGTTTTTATATAATTACCCGACTTTTTATCTCGTGTTTTCCTGAACATGCATGAAATATTTGTCACTGGGCGTTAAAATTTAGCATGATCAATTTAAACTTGTGTTTAATAAGAGAAAACAATCTGATATTTATTTATTTGTTGGGATGGGGGACAGGAGGATTTCGTATATGACTGATATGGTTGCCTGGTAAGAGCTAAAAAATAGGTATGATTAGCGACAAATTAAAATGAATAATAATGCCCTCTTTCCTTCTTCATTAATTCCTCATCTATTGATTTAAACTGAATTCTACTGAGCCCAATCATGAGTGTTGAAAGTAGCGTAAAACACCAATCAAAATCCCTTCCCTAGAATTTCAACGAATAGTTGTCCCTTAACTGTGTTATTGTCCGTGTAGTTCTTATATTCATCCAGCTTATCGTCCTACAGAGATGTCCTACTAAGGCTGTCATACCATAAAAACGTTTATAACACAGCTCACATTCTAATATACAATGTATCTTCATTCATGAATTTATTAATGTAATTTAGACTAAACGACGCCATGTTTGTTTTGTGCCTCTGCCGTCTAAACCACCTATTTAAAAAGAAGAGGTAGAAGAGAGCCAGAAGATCTTCCTAATTCAAAAAAATAGAAATGGACCTCTTCTGGCTCACTACCGAAGAACAAAAAAACACGCCCCAGTTATCACACGAGAACCAGGATATTTTTACCCTTCCGGTGCACCCGATTCACTCCGTTACGATGGGAGTTCTCATGGAAAACATCTTAACGTTTTATTGTTCGCTGTTGGTATGTGCATTTTTCTTGTTTGCCCGTGAACCTCTACTTGGTTTCGTGTTTTTATCCTGGTACCTTCTATCTATTATTATATAACTTCGAGAAAAATTAAACAGGAAGAGCAGAATCGTGACCAATTAACGTCACAATCTTTATGAACACACGACTGCTTAATGAGAATTCTACAAAGGAAGCACATCATATCACTGTCATAATCATTACGATTTATTTAATCTGGAAAATCTGTGGAGATTGTCAATCAATACTTGTAAAGGTTATCATACAGGTGTAATCATAGTTCTAATTGCCTGAATTATAAACCATCTGTACGTTTATGGTATTTATAATTCCAGATCGAGTTCGTAATTCTCTTATCTCATCGAGAATACTATGGGATGGTCAAGGTAAATATTAAAAATTTCTTTAAAATTTATTTCATTTGCTCGATTTCATTTTTCTTTGTGTTTCATTTTACATCACAATAAATACAATGTTTTGTTAACTTTATGGTAAATTTTGAAGTTACATGAGGCCAAGGCGCTGACCATTCCATGAAAGAATTGTACATTTTGAGAGAGAAAAAAGATAAACATTTCAAAATTAAAGTGTCGCGTATTTCAAATTTTTCAAAGTGGATGATCATTTTGGTGTTTTTGTTATGTGGCAATTAAGATGGCTAATTTCTAGTACCAATGCTCGTGTTACAGAAAAAGGAAGATGTAAAGCTTTAGAAGTTGTTGGTAAGTCTTACAAGAAATGGATGTCCAGCCTGGGTAGTAGAGAAATAGTAAAAATAAATGAGAAGATACGAAGGGGCGATCAGAAACCACAAGTCGAATAAACACTGACATGCACGACCAAAAGAAACAAAGACAAAGACATACCACAGTTCATACAACATTATACCCAGAATACACTAAAGATAGAGCAACACGAACACAATCAAAAACTGGGGGTGAACTCAGGTGCTCCAGAAGGGTCATCAATTCCTGCCCCACTTATGTATTTCCATAATAAACGTATACAATTGTTACAATAGAAATACTGTTTTCCGACTAGAAACAGAGATAACGGAAAAGGTTGTGTAGACGGGAATGTAATTATCATTCGTATACTGTAGCTATGTAGCCTTATGTCCCATTCGGAATGAAGAGGATAAGTAAGTTAGTAAATGTAGCTATAACAAATTATGAACTGGTTTAAAGTTGGCTTCGTTTATTAATTCTATCCTTCAGCTTAAGGATGATAATTTCTGCGTCTTATGTTATGGTTTCTTCAATTTGATGCTTCTGTAACCTTCACATATCAAACAAAATATCATCTGTTACAAGATTTTCTTATTTTACAAGAGATTTCAGGACAAGTATTTAATGTGTTTTCAACAGTAACTGATTCTGTGTTTTTTTTTCAGTTGATTACTTTTGTGCATTTCTTGGATTACCAAAATACAACTCCAATGCAAGAATGCGCTAACACTACAGTCGGAAACCAGTCGACTGTTTTATTATCTCTTTGTATATCAGCAGACCATCATCATACATCTGGAATACCAGTTCTGTCAACATTTAGCAAAATATCGATTGGGACAATTGCTTCCTTATTGGTATTGATTGGATTTTTTGGGAATGCTGTTGTGTGCTTCATTGTTTACAGAAAACCTCAGATGCGTTCTGCTATTAATCTGTTGCTTGCGAACATGGCTCTAAGTGACATTATTATGTCAGTAGTGTGCGTTCCATGGCCTCTGGTCACAATAATCCATGGAAGGTGGGTTTTTGGCGATGTAGTTTGTAAAATACAAGCTTTCCTAGTGGAGTATTTGACTTCAGTTGCCATCTTAATTATATTTATTATGAGCGGAGATAGATATATGATAATTGTCAAACGACGAGACAAGCTAACAGCAAAATTTGCCAAAATATTAATAGTATTGGTTTGGACGATTCCGTTGGTGACGTCACTACCACCTGCTATTGGTTTAAGTGACTATAAGCTATTCAGTGATCACACACAATGTTCACTTGCAATAACGAACAAGACATATGATATCAGCTTTCTAGCTATTAAATTTACACTAATCTTTGTTCTTCCCATCTTGCTAACCGGATATGCTTTTAGTGCTATAGCAAATACCGTTAGAACAAATTCATTTCGTATTCACAATCATGCCGATACGGAAGTGTCACTAAACATAGCTCAAATGAGTGCTACTCTGGGATTTATACTTATTCCGATGAAAACAAAACTTGACGTTGACGTAAAATTCAAAACTCGGACTTTTAAAACAATCATGTTGTTATATGTTTTAGTGATTCTATGTATTTCGCCCTATTCAATCAATCAAATTGTGTCCAACACTACCGGTCTGTTTCAGATGAATAGAGACACAATTTTTCTTTGGATAGCTTTCAGTAAAAGTTCTATAAACCCCGTGATATACTTCTTCCGGGTTAAGAAGTTTAAAGAAACATGTGGAGAATTCGTGCCAATATGTTGTCGGAGTGTCAACATCAATGTGTTATCAAGAAGACGTGTCAATCCAAGCTCTCTTTACCAGTATAACGGGGATCAATCCGTTGCATCTATCAGTTCTACGATATAGTTTATCAAGCATAGATGTTGAGAGATATGCGGAAAACCAATGTCTGCTTTACGCAATACAAGAAAATTGTGGTATTAATTTTGTGCCTTCGGTAAATCGTTTAATTATAAAAAGAAGCAAATGACCACTAATGACCATTTATGACAAATTAATTCTTATAGTATCAAAATAAATCAGGGTAAAAAGTTTGAATGACAATCATAATCATTTCAACATAACTCGTCACCAATGTCACTTTGCGAAAACAAAGTCAAATAGTGCAACTAGAAAGTGCAGAACAGATTTTTTTTAGGTAAAAGTGCGTAATTGATAGCTAAAACTTGACTTTCTATAAGTGCAAAATTTAGGATTCTTCAAGAGTTAACGAAATAAGTGGACTTTTCTAACCTTGTCTAACGTCTGTGACTATCTAGGAATAAGATAGGCACTTCTTATGTAACTGTCAAACAATTGTTTGGAAAATTATTGCAATTAATAATAATAAGAAAGTGAGTGAATTTGCATGTTGTTCAGTTTAGTTTAAACATATTTTATTTGCTAAATATCAGCAAAATGGATGGGACACAAGTAAATCATACTTATGAAGTCTTCTCCATATTACAATACAAGTATATATACAATAATAACATTATGAGCATGCATGTAAGCTAACAAATTCATTAAATATTATACGAACTATAAATAAAAAGAAAAAAAGAACAAGAAGAATGGAAAAGGAGGAAAAGAAAAAGAAGCAAATTATATTTTCTGTGATTTTGACTTAGGTTTGATGGTGATGATCATCCGTGCCGGTAGCAATACTATTTTATGAAGGTACTAGAAATCTGTTAGACCTTTTAATAAAATCTTGAACATGTTTGAAAATTAGGAGATTTTGTTCATTCGAAAGTTCAAGATCTCCGCAAGTTAATAGTTTAGTATCAATAATAAAGTTTTCAGTAAGCCAATTAAGATTGTTAAGTAAAATTTCTCTACATGTAGTGTATTTTGGGCAAACTAAAAGAAAATGATGAACATCCTCAATATCAGACCCACATTGACACGAAGGATCCAGTATAATGTTAGCTTTGAAAAGGTCAGAGTTTAAAAATGAAGCGGAACATCGCAATTGAGTTAAAATAATATATAGTTTCCTCGGACCGTACATATAATACGGCGCAACTCTACTCTGAACACTTTCATTTTTCAATTCTCTCTTAAATTTAGATATAGAGTCGGTGTTTCGAATTTTTAAGTCAAGCTTATTCCATTCTCGTATAATCATTATTTTTTGTAGTTTTAAAGCTATCATTGTTGTTATCAGTATTAACTCAAACTTTCATATATGCTATTGGTTTTACATCTAAATCAAACATTACAAAAAACAGCAAAGACAATAAACATTAAAGTACAAATTACCACAGCATACACAATAAACATATACATTGACAACCGAACAGGAATACAATACAAAAGGTCAAGGCAAATGGCTCATAAAATAATGGACAAATTTCATCTTGCATTACAGCTATTCTTTACGCTTTGTTTTTTATATTCATTCTCAAATTATGCATTTATTAATTTATTAAATACTGATGCACTACTATGGTGAGCTATCCGTCGATAGGTATTTAAATTGATCATTTGTGTGGAGTTCCGTTAGATTATTTACTGGATTTCTACAGTGTACACTAATATATTACATGTTGTTGACTATTGTACTGGTTGTATATGAACTATAAATAAAAGAAGATTGGACGGAAAAATAATAGAAAATAAGGAGTTCACATTTATAAGATTCGATTATGTCCTGTACTTATTACTGATTTGGTAATTTTAATATATGTACTTGTTACGTACATAAATGTTTGATTTAATTTTTTTTATAAAACTGTAAACGGCGAGCCAGCGCCTTACTTTAAGCATAAATTTTACCATACAAAGATAGCCATTAATAATACAAATGAGAAACTTCAATACCATGTTGAAAGTCATAATAGGTAATAACTGATCTAATTTCATAAGGTTATTGAACAGGACAATAACCCTGTTAGCAGTTTTTAACGAATGTATGTTATTGCGAGGGATGAAGTTAGAGGGAAAATTTGCATATTTAGCAGAAAAACAAAACAAGAAAGAAATGGGCTCCAAACTATACACGCATATTAAGATATGCTTCGTCCGAATTATTATTGCTTATCAAAATTCAATGACATAAGTGTATCAGCTGCTGTTTATTAAATAGAAGAGTTAACATAAGTCTTCTTCATAATTAAGAGTGAATAAGTGTCAATTTTCATGGTAGAGGAAAACGCTAGTTTACTTTGTTCATAGAGATGTGTTATATAGTGTGATCACTTTCGTTCATTATTTTTTATTTAATTGGGATTTTTTTTGGACATGAATACTCTATTTGTAAATGGCAACACACCTTGATTAGCACATATGATACTTATTAAGAAACGTGAAACAATGCAAAACAAATAAGAAGTGAGTTTATTAAAGTTTTAGAAAAGTTGATGAGATCCTGTACTCTAGTCTCCGGAGTTGTTTGAGTTTGTGCTGTCTTCACCTTGACGGATTGCTGCCTCAAGATCAGAAATATCTTGGAGATCGTTGATTATTCGTTTATTACTGTTTGCAGTCAGTTTGACAAAGATTCGACCGTCCATGGTCCAGTATGTATTGATTTTATTGTTAAATTTTAGAGCGGCTAATTTTTTGACGAGGTTTTTTTAAATTGGGTCAAGTTTTCTGTAATGAAGGTACCATTTGGATCACCTTTAAGAGCCTTTTTGTTTGAGAATACTAGTTGTCTAGTTCGGTAGGAAATGAATCGCACAATCACTTGAGACTTTCCTTGTTTGATTTTGCCAATGACATGTGATCTTCCTATGTCTTGGATACCAATATCAATTTTGAGTTTGTTTTTACATATATCCAATATGATGTTGTCAGTATCGACAGGATGTACAATCAGTACTTGTTTATTTTAATGAAAGCAACGTTGCTTTGACGTTGCCAACATTTTGTTCCTACATTTGAAATAAAGTTACTGTACCAACGAGAATTTGTTTAACAAACAGACACGTTATTTTCTTTCGGGAAATTGAAAACTAAACACCTCTCAAACAGAAAATTCAAGAACAAAAAATCATTTCAAGAAGTTTTTTTTCTACCATTATTCTGTGCACTAAATATTCATTGATACAAAAATAATACATAAACTTGACTTAACATCCAATATAAAAAAAAACACTTTACTCTGTGACCTGCTAAAGTGATTTTCTAAATCAAAGCTCCTTTAACAGCTGCCTTAATTAAACTCTAATTAGTAGGTTCTAGCAAACACCGATTGCGTCTTTCAGTGATATCAATGTATGTAAATTATTACAGATTAAAAATAGGCACATAGGAGACTAAATCGCTCACCTTCGAAAATAACACTTTCATTGCTCAAGAGAAGATAACTTCTGACAAAGTAGTAGGAGCATTAAGACCATTATTTGACACAAAAATGATGCAAATATAGAACTCAAAATACAATATAAGAAAATCCTGTAATAACAATTATAGTAAGTTAATGATATTCAGTAAATTAAGAAAACTTTCACATTCCATGAGTTTATACAGGCTTTCAAATGTTTAGGTTTGAGCATTCCTGATAAAGTAAATCCAGAAAAGCACGTCAGACGTATGAAATTTATAAAGTGTCATTTTCATTTACCATGGCATCAAGGAGTGGTGAAAATTGCACATTTTAAAATTGCCCCAACTTTTCATCAATGTTTTCAGAGATTTTGAAAAGACTGAGAAGTATGAACACACCCATGAAGTAATTATATATTTAGCGAAAAGTTCAATGTGAGATAACCAATCTTCTCTAAGAACATTTTGTTACCGTAGTGTATGTTTCTGCAATTCAATTTGTTTTCGCCATTCTTGTCATTCGGTATATACTGTAAGTTATATTGGTTGCTAATGACCCCCTACGGGTCCATAGAGGGTTAGTAAAATACATAGGGGATGAGGCCGAAATTGGCCTAAATGTCCCTGTACTTCTTAATTTCGCTACGTTTGGTTTCGTTCATCTCCATCTAAAGTTTCAAAACATGTTGCCTTGTAGTTTCTAGTTTTTTTACTATTGACTATTCGGAAGAAGCAAAGATGGCCTCTGATTTTAATCAGATAGGTACCAAATAAGTAATATTTGTAGAGGACCTACCATACATCATTCTAAGGAAGATTGGTTAAAATTGGCAAAATCGTTTCAGATAAGATGAAATGTGATTATTCCAATCAGTGTCAATGGGAAATAAGTGCCTCCAATGCCAGGATGTTTACCGCTAGTTAACATTAAATGAAACTTACGATAGATAGATGACAGAGGCAAAATGATGGCAATAACTCACTTGGCCCTGAGGGCCATGTGAGCTAAAAATGAACTTTCAATATGACTGTAAAATAAGGGGGACGATGACTCCCAGATCTTCACAAAGAGCAACAGGTCGTATACACATGCATCATTTTAGTTTATCAAAACACTAAGCTTCTATAATATAAAACTGAATTTACAAAGATTACATTGAAGCTGGATTGTTATCTCTTATACTATCCGATCGTGGACGATTCTATTGAGAGTAAATTCGCAAAATGGTGGTATTGTCTTTAAAAAGTTTATTTCGTTAATTTTGATGACAAGAAAGATGTCTAGCAAAATAGCAACTATCTAACGATCTCGTACGTTTAAGCAGAGTGAACTATATTCAATATTTCTTATTACAGAAAGTAAAGATCTCACTTTCCAGTTTAAAAATCCTCCAAAAAGAAAGAAATATGGAATTCAGAATGCAGTTGCTTCTAATGGTTTTTGAAAATATTACAAAACAAATTATAATCTCAAATAACTCCATTAGTAACTTGCAGTAATTTTTCCCTACATATGATTTCATTAAGAAAATCAATTCTAACCTTAAAAATTTGTCTTAAGCCCTACATTCCAATGTAACTAAATAGAGAAACCATTATCAATGGGTCATAGTTGGATGGACTGAATAGCGAATGTGGATTTATAACAGATCCAATTATTTATAACAACCAAAAAACAATGCATTTGTTATGATAAATTTTTGAAAGTGGCAAAATCTACTTTAATTCTTTAGAGCTGTTCATAGAATGTCAGGTGTTGAAACTGGGACTAGTATACTAACAATCTGGGAATAGCATCAATATATTATGTCCCAGGTTGAAATGAACATTTCGTAGGCAAAACTTTAGATAATATACCGTAAAATCATCAGAAAAAGCTATTTCACCCTTCCTATATTGACTTTAATTCCGTAAAGTTGTACTGAAAGTAGTCTCAGAGTTGAGAAACAACTCTTAATGTAATTCGGATAAATTATATTATATGGATAGAACAAATGTCAAATGATAGTCT